GACAAGCAAAAACGCAACTGTGAGGGGGGAGGCCCCAAAATGCCTCTTTTGCTCCCCAAAAATCCATTTTTTTTCCCCTCCAAATCCACGTTAGGACCCCAAAATCCACCTTTAACCCCCAAAATCCCTGTTTTGATCCCCAAATCCCCTCAGAATTCCTGGTTTTGCAGCTCACCGGAGCAGGAGTCGGACGAGCGCAAATGCAACTACGAGCGGTACCGGGGCCTGGTGCAGAACGACTTTGCTGGCAGTGAGTCCCTTTTTTCCCTGTTTTTTTGGGAATTCTGACCCCTCTGGATCCCCTGAGAACGCTTCCCGAGGGACTGAAGGAATGATTTGATTCCAAAATTCCCAATCCCAGTCTCGGAGGAGCAGTGCCTGTACCAGATCTACATCGACGAGCTCTACGGGGGCCTCCAGAAACCCAACGAGGATGAGAAGAAAAAGTGAGGGAAAAAAGTCGGAATTCCTGGGAATTCTGGCTGGGAATTCACGCCCACACCCTTGGGAATTATCTTAATTCTGGGATAACGCCCCAATCCAAGTTTTCCCCTCACTCCTTTGCTGGAATCTCCCCAAAATCATCCTGGGAAGGGCTCCTGGTTTTGCCTGGGGGGTTCTGGCTTGGGATTCCCGTTTTCCCTCACAATTCCACCTCAGAATTCCCATTTCCTCTCACAATTCCCCCTTGGGGCTCCCATTTTCCCTCAAAATCCCCCTCACAATTCCCATTTCCCCTCACAATTCCCCTTCAGGGCTCCCATTTTCCCTCAGAATTCCTATTTTCCCTCACAATTCCCATTTCCCTTCATGATTATCCTCACAATTACCATTTTCCCTCAGAATTCCCCCCCAATTCTGATTTTCCCTCACACTATCCCTCACAATTCCCCTCACAATTCCCATTTCCCCTCACAATTCCCATTTCCCTTCATGATTTCCCTCACAATTCCCATTTTCCCTCACAATCCCCCTCACAATTCCCATTTTCCCTCACAATTCCCATTTTCCCTCACAATTCCCATTTCCCCTCACAATTTTCCCTCACGATTCCCCCTCACAATTCCCCACACAATTCCCATTTCCCCTCACAATTGCTGTCACAATTCCCCTCACAATTCCCATTTTCCCTCTCAATTCCCCTCACAATTCCCATTTTCCCTCCATGGCGCTCCTTGGCCCCCTCAGCCCCTCAGTCCCTCCCTGAGGGGAGAAGCCGCGGCCTGGAGGGATTTGTGTCCCACCCTCCCCAGGCTGGTGGAGAAAAAGGCTTTTTCTCACAATTCCCCTCTCAATTCCCATTTCCCCTCACAATTTCCCCTCACAATTCCCATTTCCCCTCACAATTCCCCTCACAATTCCGATTTCCTCTCACAATTCTCATTTCTCCTATCAATTCCCCTCACAATTTCCCTCACAATTCCCATTTCCCCGCACAATTTCCCACACAATTCCCNGGGTGGGGAAATCCGGGATTGCCCTGGGATGGAATTCGGGGAAAATCCAGGAGGATTTGGAGCCACTTTCCTGTTTTTTAGTGATGGGAAAGGGGGAATTTGGTTAATTTCAGGGATAAATCCCATGGAATTATCAGGGATAAATCCCATGGAATTATTTCTGGAATATTCCTGGGATCACCCACCAGGGATGGAGAAATTTGGGATTTCCCAGGGGTTGGAATTTGGGGAGTTTTGGGCAAATCTGGGGAGATTTAGAGATGCCATTCCTGTTTTTCCTGAAGGAGTTTTGCTCATTTCAGGGATAAATCCCATGGAATTATTTCTGGAATGTTCCTGGGATTGTCCCCCCAGGGATGGAGAAATTTGGGATTTCCCAGGGGTTGGAATTTGGGTGATTTCTGGCAAATCCAGGAGGATTTGGAGCTGCCGTTCCCAGTTTTTAGTGATGGGAAAAGGAGAATTTTGCTCATTCCAGGGATAAATCCCATGGAATTATTTCTGGAATATTTCTGGGATTGTCCCCCAGGGATGGAGAAATTTGGGATTTCCATGGGGATGGAATTCGGGGAAAATCCGGGAGGATTTGGAGTCACCATCCCCAGTTTTTAGTGATGGGAAAGGGGGAAATTGCCTCGTTCTAGGGATAAATTCCATGGAATTATTTCTGGAATATTCCTTGGATTGTCCCCCCAGGGATGGAGAAATTTGGGATTTCCCAAGGGTCGGAATTTGGGAAGTTTTGGGCAAATCTGGGAGGATTTGGAGCCACTTTTCCCATTTATACTGAAGGAATTTTGCTCATTTCAGGGATAAATTCCATGGAATTATTTCTGGAATATTCCTGGGATTGTCCCACCAGGGATGGAGAAATCTGGGATTTCCCAGGGGTTGGAATTTGGGGAGTTTTGGGCAAATCCAGGAGGATTTGGAGCCACTGTTCCCCTTTTTTTACTGATGGGAAAGGGGGAGTTTTGCTCATTCCAGGGATAAATCCCATGGAATTATTTCTGGAATGTTCCTGGGATTGTCCCCCCAGGGATGGAGAAATCTGGGATTTCCCAGGGGATGGAATTTGGGGAAAATCCGGGAGGATTTGGAGCTGCCGTTCCCATTTTTACTGAAGGAATTTTGCTCATTCCAGGGATAAATTCCATGGAATTATTTCTGGAATGTTCCTTGGATTGTCCCCCCAGGGATGGAGAAATTTGGGATTTCCTAGGGGTCGGAATTTGGGGAGTTTTGGGCAAATATGTGAAAATTTGGAACCACTTTTCCCGTTTTTTAGTGATGGGAAAGGGGGAGTTTTTCTCATTCCAGGGATAAATTCCATGGAATTATTTCTGGAATGTTCCTGGGATCGACCCCCAGGGATGGAGAAATTTGGGATTTCCCAGGGGTTGGAATTTGGGGAGTTTTGGGCAAATCTGTGAAGATTTGGAGCCACTTTTCCCATTTTTACTGAAGGAATTTTGTTCATTTCAGGGATAAATTCCATGGAATTATTTCTGGAATATTTCTGGGATTGTCCCCCCAGGGATGGAGAAATTTGGGATTTCTCTGGGGTTGGAATTTGGGGAAAATCCGGGAGGATTTGGAGCCACTTTTCCCGTTTTATAGTGATGGGAAAGGGGGAGTTTTGCTCATTCCAGGGATAAATCCCATGGAATTATTTCTGGAATATTCCTTGAATCGACCCCCAGGGATGGAGAAATTTGGGATTTCCCAGGGGATGGAATTTGGGGAAAATCCAGGAGGATTTGGAGTCACTGTTCTTGATTTTTAGCGATGGGAAAAGGAGAATTTTGTTCATTTCAGGGATAAATCCCATGGAATTATTTCTGGAATATTCTCTGGATTGTCCCCCCAGGGATGGAGAAATTTGGGATTTCCCTGGGGTTGGAATTTGGGGAAAATCCGGGAGGATTTGGAGCCACTTTTCCCATTTTTACTGAAGGAATTTTGTTCATTCCAGGGATAAATTCCATGGAATTATTTCTGGAATGTTCCTGGAATCGACCCCCAGGGATGGAGAAATCTGGGATTGCCCAGGGGATGGAATTTGAGGAAAATCCGGGAGGATTTGGAGCCACTTTTCCCATTTTTACTGAAAGAATTTTGCTCATTTCAGGGATAAATTCCATGGAATTATTTCTGGAATATTCCTGGGATTGTCCCCCCAGGGATGGAGAAATTTGGGATTTCCCAGGGTTGGAATTTGGGGAAAATCCGGGAGGATTTGGGGCCACTTTTCCCGTTTTTACTGAAGGAATTTTGCTCATTCCAGGGATAAATCCCATGGAATTATTTCTGGAATGTTCCTTGGATTGTTTCCCAGGGATGGAGAAATCCGGGATTTCCATGGGGATGGAATTTGGGGAAAATCCGGGAGGATTTGGAGCCACTTTTCCCATTTTTTGGTGATTGGAAAAGGAGAATTTTGTTCATTTCAGGGATAAATCCCATGGAATTATTTCTGGAATATTCCTGGAATCACCCCCCAGGGATGGAGAAATCCGGGATTGCCCTGGGGATGGAATTTGGGTGGTTTTGGGCAAATCTGGGGAGATTTAGAGATGCCATTCCTGTTTTTCCTAAAGGAGTTTTGCTCATTCCAGGGATAAATCCCATGGAATTATTTTTGGAATATTCCTTCGATTGTTTCCCAGGGATGGAGAAATCCAGGATTTCCCAGGGGTTGGAATTTGGGAAGTTTTGGGCAAATCCAGGAGGATTTGGAGCCACTTTTCCCATTTTTTGGCGATGGGAAAAGGAGAATTTTGTTCATTTCAGGGATAAATTCCATGGAATTATTTCTGGAATATTCCTGGGATTGTCCCCTCAGGGATGAAGAAATTTGGGATTTCCCAGGGGTTGGAATTTGGGGAAAATCCGGGAGGATTTGGAACCACTTTTCCCATTTTTTAGCGACGGGAAAAAGAGAATTTTGTTCATTTCAGGGATAAATTCCATGGAATTATTTTTGGAATATTCTTTGAATCGTCCCCCAGGGATGGAGAAATTTGGGATTTCCCAGGGTTGGAATTTGGGGAAAATCCGGGAGGATTTGGAGTCGCCATCCCCAGTTTTTAGTGATGGGAGAGGGGGAAATTGCCTCATTCCAGGGATAAATCCCATGGAATTATTTCTGGAATGTTCCTGGGATTGTCCCCCCAGGGATGGAGAAATTTTGGATTTCCCAGGGGTCGGAATTTGGGAAGTTTTGGGCAAATCCAGGAGGATTTGGAGTCACTGTTCTTGATTTTTAGCGATGGGAAAAGGAGAATTTTGCTCATTTCAGGGATAAATCCCATGGAATTATTTCTGGAATATTCTTTGGATTGTCCCCCCAGGGATGGAGAAATTTGGGATTTCCCAGGGGTTGGAATTTGGGGAAAATCCGGGAGGATTTGGAGCCACTGTTCTCCTTTTTGTACTGATGGGAAAGGGGGAGTTTTGCTCATTCCAGGGATAAATTCCATGGAATTATTTCTGGAATGTTCCTGGGATTGTCCCCCCAGGGATGGAGAAATCCGGGATTTCCCAAGGGTTGGAATTTGGGTGGTTTTTGGCAAATCCGGGAGGATTTGGAGCCACTTTTCCCATTTTTATGAAGGAATTTTGCTCATTCCAGGGATAAATCCCATGGAATTATTTTTGGAATATTCCTTGGATTGTCCCCCCAGGGATGGAGAAATCTAGGATTTCCCTGGGGATGGAATTTGGGAAGTTTTGGGCAAATCCAGGCAGAATTCAGGTTTTTATTGGAATTATCACTCCCATTTTTTTGCTGATGGAAAGGAGGAATTTTTCTCAATCCAGGGAGAAAATCCCCCCCAGACCTGGATAAATCCCAATTTTACCCTAAAATGAAATTTAACTCTTTTTTACTCCATCAACCCAAAGAAAATTCGGTTTTTTGGGGGAACCACCTTTCCTGGTTTTTTTCCTGAAGGAAAGGGGGGAATTGGGACCACTCTGGGTGGGAATTCCGGGATTTTTCCCGATCCCAAGGTTTGGATTTTCCTGCAGGATGCCCTGGCAGGGGGACACCAACAACATGATCGACCGGTTCGACGTCCGCGCTCACCTGGATTTCATCCCCATGTACACCCCGGCCCTGCTCAGCCCCACGTAAGAATCCCAAAAATTCCCATTAAATTCCCATAAGAATCCCAAAAAATTCCTGCAAAATTCCCCCCAAAAAATTCCTGCACGATTCCCCAAAAAATTCCTGTAAGAATCCCAAAAATTCCCATGAGACTCCCCAAAAATTCCCATAAGACTCCCCAAAAAATTCCTATAAGATTCCCCGAAAACTTCCTGTAAGAATCCCAAAAAATTCCCATAAGAGTCCCCAAAAAATTCTCATAAGATTCCCCAAAAAATTCCTGCAAAATTCCTCCAAAAAATTCCTGTAAGAATCCAAAAAAATTCCCATAGGATTCCCCAAAAAATTCCCATAAGATTCCCCAAAAACTTCCTGTAAGAATCCAAAAAAATTCCCATAGGTTTCCCCAAAAAATTCCCATAAGATTCCCCCAAAAATTCCCATAAGATTCCCCCAAAAATTCCTGTAAGAATTCCAAAAATTTCCCATAGGATTCCCCAAAAAATTCCCATAAGACTCCCCAAAAAATTCCTGCAAAATTCCCCCAAAAAATTCCTGCAAGATTCCCCAAAAAATTCCTGTAAGAATCCCAAAAATTCCCATGAGACTCCCCCAAAAATTCCCATAAGATTCCCCCAAAAATTCCTGTAAAAATTCCAAAAATTTCCCATAGGATTCCCCAAAAATTCCCATAAAATTCCCCCAAAAAATTCCTGCACAATTCCCCAAAAAATTCCTGTAAGAATCCCAAAAATTCCCATGAGACTCCTCAAAAAATTCCCATAAGATTCCCCAAAAAATTCCTGTAAGAATTCCAAAAGTTTCCCATAGGATTCCCCAAAAAATTCCCATAAGATTCCCCAAAAACTTCCTGTAAGAATCCCAAAAAATTCCTGCAAAATTCCCCCAAAAAATTCCTGCAAGATTCCCCAAAATAATTCCCATAAGATTCCCCAAAAAATTCCTGCAAGATTCCAAAAAAATTCCTGCAAGATTCTCAAAATAATTCCCTCAAAATTCTCAAAAAACTTCCCCCAAAAAATTCCCTTTGAAGCCATAAAATTCCTTTTATTTTTTTAGCAAAAATCCCCCTTTGGATNTTCTCCCAAAAAATTTCTGTAAGAATCCCAAAAAAATTCCTGCAAAATTCCCCCCAAAAAATTCCTGCAAGATTCCCCAAAAAATTCCTGTAAGAATCCCAAAAAATTCCTGCAAAATTCCCCCCAAAAATTCCTGCAAGATTCCCCAAAAAATTCCTGTAAGAATCCCAAAAAATTCCCATAAAATTCTCAAAAAATCCCCATAAAATTCTCAAAAATTCCCATAAAATTCCCCAAAAATTCCCATAAGAATCCCAAAAAATTCCTGCAAAATTCCCCCAAAAAATTCCTGTAAGAATCCCAAAAAATTCCCCTCAGATTTCCAAAAAAAAGTCCCTTAAAATTCCCCAGAAAATTCCCGTAATATTCCCAAAAAATTCCTATAAGAGTCCCCAAAACATTTCCCATAAGATTCCCCATAAAATTCCTGCAAGATTTGCCAAAAATTTCCCATAAGATTCCTAAAAAAATTCCCATAAGATTCCCCAAAAAATTCCCATAAGATTCCCCAAAAAATTCCTGTAAGAATCCCAAAAAATTCCTAAGGAATTCCCCAAAAAATTCCCCTCAGATTTCCAAAAAAATTCCCTTAAAATTCCCCAAAAAATTCCCGTAATATTCCCAAAAAATTCCTATAAGAGTCCCCAAAACATTTCCCATAAGATTCCCCAAAAATTCCCATAAGAATCCCCCAAAAATTCCCATAAGAATCCCCAAAAATTCCCATAAAATTCCCCCAAAAAATTCCTGTAAGAATCCCAAAAATTCCCATAAAATTCCCCAAAGATTCCCATAAGATTCCCCAAAAAATTCCTGCAAAATTCCCCCCAAAAATTCCCATAAGAATCCCCAAAAAATTCCTGCAAAATTCCCCCAAAAAAATCCTGCAAGATTCCCCAAAAAATTCCTGTAAGAATGCAAAAAAATTCCCATAAAATTCTCAGAAAATCCCCATAAAATTCTCAAAAAATTCCCATAAGAATCCCCCAAAATTTCCCATAAGAATCCCAAAAAATTCCCATAAAATTCTCAAAAAATCCCATAAAATTCCCCAAAAATTCCCATAAGAATCCCCCAAAAATTCCCATAAGAATCCCAAAAAATTCCTGCAAAATTCCCCCAAAAAATTTCCATAAGAATCCCCAAAAAATTCCTGCAAAATTCCCCAAAAAAATTCCTGCAAGATTCCCCAAAAAATTCCTGTAAGAATCCCAAAAAATTCCCACAAAATTCTCAAAAAATCCCCATAAAATTCCCCAAAAATTCCCATAAGATTCCCCAAAAAATTCCTGCAAAGTTCCCCCCAAAAAATTCCTGCAAGATTCCCCAAAAAATTCCTGTAAGAATCCAAAAAAATTTCCATAAAATTCTCAAAAAATCCCCATAAAATTCTCAAAAATTCCCATAAAATTCCCCAAAAATTCCCATAAAATTCCCCAAAGATTCCCATAAGATTCCCCAAAAATTCCCATAAAATTCCCCCCAAAAATTCCTGCACAATTCCCCAAAAAATTCCTGTAAGAATCCCAAAAATTCCCATAAAATTCCCCAAAAATTCCCATAAAATTCCCCCAAAAAATTCCTGTAAGAATCCCAAAAATTCCCATAAAACTCCCCAAAAATTCCCATAAAATTCCCCAAAAATTCCCTTAAAATTCCCCAAAAATTCCCATAAAATTCCCCCCAAAAATTCCTGCAAAATTCCCCCAAAAAATTCGTGTAAGAATCCCAAAAATTCCCATAAAATTCCCCAAAAATTCCTGCAAAATTCCCCCCAAAAATTCATGTAAGAATCCCAAAAATTCCCATAAAATTCCCATAAGAATCCCCCAAAAAATTCCTGCAAAATTCCCCCAAAAAATTCCTGCAAAATTCCCCCAAAAAATTCGTGTAAGAATCCCAAAAATTCCCATAAAACTCCCCAAAAATTCCCA